CACCCGCTCTCTCCTGCTGAGCACATGTGACTGGCCCTCCAGTGCTCTCCAAGGACAAAGCCACAGTCCCTGCTTTTTTGTCCCAGGTCTCAGTGCTAATTCCTGGATTTGTGGACTGTGTCCTAGATGTTATAGTCTCTCAATTGTTCCCTTGACAACCTCCTGTTCTCTAGGGGAACAAAGGCACTGTCTCTGTTTGGCTCCTGGATTTCATCATCTTTTATTTTTCCACTTTTAGTCTCTGCTGAGCAGTTTTTTGTTTGTTTGTTTGTTTGTTTTGAGAGGGAGTCTCACTTTGTCACCCTCGGTAGAGTACTGTGCTGTTACAGCTCACAGCAACCTCCAACTCTTAGGCTTAAGCAATTCTTTTGCCTCAGCCTCCTAAGTAGCTAGGACTACAGGCGCCTGCCACAATGCCTGGCTATTTTTTGGTTGTAGTTGTCGTTGTTTGCCAGGCCTGGGCTGGATTCGAACCGGCCAGCTGCCGTGTATGTGGCTGGCACCACAGGCACTGAGCCTGTTGAGCAGTTATTTGAACAGGCCCTGGGGCTTCTTAGGAAACTATCCACATTCACCTTGTGTTTTCAGGATCTTCATATCTGATAAAGTGTATAGAACCAGCCCTCCCTTACCCACCCCTTCCCCGCATCTTCCTAGGGCCCTTTCTAATGGAGCTCTGCCCTAAGGCTGGGGACAGCTTCAGAAATACCTTTCCAGGGCCCCTGCCTGCAGGATGTTACCCCCACCCTCACCCCACTGCTTGCACTTCTCTTTCAGACCTTCCTCTCAGTTCCACCTCCCCTGTTGGCAGAGTTGCTCCTAGATTCCCTGCTGACATAGACAGCTGGCCTTTTTGGGGAGTGAGGAGGTCATCTTTTTGCTCCAGTGTTCACTCCCTTCACTTCTGAGTGGATGTGTGTCATTTGCTGGGTTGAGCCGTCCAAACCCAATGACATCTATAGGTGGATACAATCCACTTCCACAGGAGCAAGAAACAAGATGTGGGAGTGCAAGGTGAGGTGAATCTAACTCATTTGGGGCTGACGGTATTACTCCTAGTGTAGACCAGCAGATGGTTTGAACAGGTTCTGGGGCTGTATATTGGGTTCCCTGTCTGCTCACTGTGGAGTGATATGTGTGTGCACATGTTATCAGCTCTTTTGTGCAATGAAATGAAACGCTTAGCATGGTGCCTTGCATATAGTAAGTGCTCAGTGATGGTTAGCTGCTACTAGTTTTGCCTTTTTTTTTGGTAGAGACAGTCTCACTTTATCACCCTTGGTAGAATGCTGTGGTGTCATACAGCTCATAGCAACCTCCAACTCCTGGGCTTAGGCAATTCTCTTGCCCGGCTATATATTTTTTTTTTTTTTGCATTTTGGCCAGGTTGGATTTGAACCCGCCACCCTCGGTATATGGGGCCCACGCCCTACCCACTGAGCCACAGGTGCCGCCAGTTTTGCCATTATTATTATTACTTAGGAACAAAAGCAATACAAACCATGTACCTTGTAAAATGGGCACTACTGGGCATTGGTAGAGGTTTGAATATATGATTATGTGCTAGGCTGGTTTGGGGAAGGTTTTCCCATAGTGGACTGTGGTTCTGGTGTGTTGTAGGTCAGCTAATCAGTCAGGTAGTTAGTTAGTCCAGGGTCTTTTTTAACAGGCTTTAGGACCTATATGGGAATTTAGTCTGGGTATTCTTCCTGCTAAATTGATAGTGCTTTGAAGTATTTCAGCCCCTGGAGTAAATTAGGAGGCCCAGGTCTCCAGTACTGCTATAGAATCTGCACTGCCACCACCTCCTATGCAGCAAGGGCCTTCCTTTCTCTTTGGTATGATTCAGATCAAGGGGCAAGAAAAATAAATGCAAGCTCTTAGATCTGCAACATCGTGACCAATAATACAAATAATAGACTGCAATATGTTAAGTGCTTATTATGTTCCAGGCACTAAATCCTTTTCATGGATTATCTTATTTACTGTGTGACCTTGGGCTGACGACTTTACCTTTCTATGTCTTCATCTCTAAATGCCTAACCGGGAAGTGAGAGAGGCAGTGAAATAATGTAGGTGAGAGCCTTTGAAAGCAAGCACAAAAGGATATATGTATGCCATATTTTTACCAGCGAGCCAAGATGATAGATAATCTTCAGGCCTTTGAAGAGTCTGCATTGCACAGAGGGGGGATGTTGGCAAAGCTCCAGCTGATAGTGAATTTGATAGCCCAGCTTTGTGAGGGCAGAATATGAGGCCTATGGTGGCTTTATCTGTCACCTGAGATCAGGGTGTCTGTCTCCTGGCACAAATGTGACACCTGTTGCAAGAGAAACAGGCCCTGGCAGCTGGCGCTCCGGGAACAGAGATCTGGCCAGGAGCAGGAGGAGTTCACTTACCAGAGGGCAAATGACAAATGTCAATCATTAAATCAGCACATTCTTTTTTTTTTTTTTTTTTGAGACAGAATCCCACTATGTCGCCCTTGGTAGAGTGCCATGGCATCACAGCTCACAGCAACCTTCAATTCTTGGGCTTAAGCAATTCTCTTGTGTTAGCCTCCCAAGTAGCTGGGACTACAGGAGCCTGCCACAATGCCTGGCTTTTTTTTTTTTAATTGCAGTTATCATTGTTTAGTTGGCCTGGGTCGGGTTTGAACCCACCAGTCTTGGTGCATGTGGCCGGTGCTGTAACCACTATACTACGGGTGCTGAGCCTGGGCTTGGTTCTGAATACAGCAAAGACAGCTGGGGACAAGAGTGAAGGACTGAGTGTTTGGAAAATCACAAAGACAGACAGACATTCAGGGCAGGGGGATTCCTGATCTGCTGGCCTGACAGGATTCTTGGTGGGGGATTCTGCAGAACTGACTTTGCAGGATTCTTGCTAAAGATTGCACTAGGCAGGTCCCAAGGGCAAGACCTTGTCAGAAAGAGGGCTCAGAGGAGCCTGCCTAAAGTTTGGTCAAGGAGAGCGTCTGTCCCTTCTCAGCAGATGCCCAGACAAGGGGAGCTGAAGACCACAATGATGGTCCATTGTTGGGTAGGTCATCTCCCCTTCTAATAGTCAAAGAATTTGGCTGGAGCTGAAAGCCAGACTCTGAGAATGTGCGTCTGAGACTCCTATTGAGAGGTGGATAGCATTTCTTTGGGTATTTCTTCACAGCCTTCTCTAGAAGTAGGTAGCTTTTAGTCATAAGAGCAAGGCAGGGCCTGTTCTCCCCTCCCCACAGTGTGACTCACTCCTCGGTGGGCACCTGAGCCCCCAGCCACTAGCCAGCAGCTCCTTGGGGCCAGGAGGGGATAGGTTCTACTTTAGATCACAGGTGTGTGCTGGGATAAGCAGATGAATAAGCAGCTTTCCCAGAGCTCTTCCAGGATGGAGGGTGTCAGCCAGGAGCATTTTTCTCTTTTTCCCTTATTCCTCATATTTTCACCTCAACCTCACTGGCCCCATCATCCTGCTTTCCCAGAACTTACCCCTGGCACGGAACCTGTCAGACCTGTTCCTGCCAGCCACCAGGGGAGACCTTGCTGGCAAAGGGCTAAACCTGCAGAAGTCCCTAGAACCATAACATCAGGGGCAGTTGAACGTCTGTGCAGAAATCTAAGCATCCACAGGAGAAATGGAGGCAGAATGAGAAAATGCTGCCTTGTGAGATAGGTCCTCTGTTCTAATCCTGGCCTCAGAACACCTAGCTCTGTGACTTGAACCTCTGAGCTTCTCTTTCCCAATCCATAAAATGGGGACAATCGGGTGAGATCCTGAAAAGACTCAAGGACATCATGCCTGTGAGATGCAGGCATGACTCAGAAAACATAACCAGGAAAGAGAAGCTCCCCCACCCCACCCCTGCAATCCAGGTGTGGCTCTTTGTCCCCACCCTTCCCAGAGTCCATTATATAAACATTCTGCAGGGGCCCAGACTTGCAGGGTGTGCTCTGTTTTCTGTCTGGTTGGCGGTATGTGTCTGCTGGGGCTCACAGAGGGGTTCCTGTGACACTAATGCTTGCTGCCAACTGTTGGCTCCTAGTGGTCATGGACTGTCCCTCTAGCTCTTATGAAGTGCCTGCTACAGCATCATGGGAGCTTCTGAGACAGCTGCTGGAGTGGCCCAGTGGAAATCCATTCACACACGTGGGTTCTCATCTTAGCCTTATCACTACTTGCTAACTGAGCCTAGATTAGTCATTTGACCGCCTAGGTCCCATTTTTCTCATCTAAAATGAAGAGTAGGTGATTTCGAAAGCCTCTTCTGGCTCTTGACAGTCTGTGATCGCAGTTTGTGGCTAATGGTGGTTTGATTTCACTTATTCAGAGCCCAATAGTCACGCCCAAGCAATCTCCTTCCAGATCAGGAGCAGTGGCTGGCCACTGGCCTCCCGCTCTCCCCTCCATTCTAGTGAATGCATGTGTGCACCCCACACTCTCCTGATCCCTCCCTCCCTCTCCCCATGGTTTAACTTTTTGCCTTTCCAGTGGGTAAGCCAAGTAGTTCTAGAGCCTTCAGGGTGCAGTTATCATCGTCAGCTCTGCCTCCAGGAATAGCTAGCCTCTAATCTATCTGGAGTGGTTCACACCAAGTCCCATGTCTACCTTTCCCAGCCCAGGGATCCCCTGCTGCCCCTCTGGGCCTGGAGGACAGGGGCTGAGCTGGGAAGGCAAGCGTATGCTGCCTTTCACAACTACTCCACAGCAGCTTTTGGGGGACGTGGCGGGGAGTAAAGGTCAGCCTATAGGGGTCGCTTCACCTGGCCTGGCTGATTCTCTGGAATGTTGAAGTGGCAACTGCTCATGGGATGTGACCTCGTCCCCCTCCCTGCCCTCTCTCTGAACATGGCCAAGTTTGGAACTACCTTCCCCCAAGACTCCCCCCACATACCAAATGAAGGGGGTGCAGAGCAGAAGAGAAGATATCACCTCTGTTGTTGCTCCCAAATTTTACAGACACGCAGGGCCTTTTAATCATGTTGACCTTGCTCCTTCTTTCCCTTCTGTAGGGTACAGCAGCTGGAGAGAACTGGCCAAGGCTCTGGCCAGCAGGAATATTCCCCCTGTGGATCCAAATCTCCAGTTCTACCGTCCCCAGAGGTTGAGACTTGAGGTATGTTACGGGGCCAGCTCATTTTCCTTCTGGCACTTGAACATGGTCCTCAGTCACCCTGCCCTGATGGTCTTCCTCAAGGAAAACCTCCAGTGGACTATGGGAGGGGAGGCAGGGGAAGACCACCCTGGAGCTTTGGTCTGGCATCTGGGATTTCCCAGCTGAGTGAGCAGAGATAAACCTGACTTTCCTGTTTCTGCCCGTTCCACTTAGTCTAAGATGCCCATGTCTGAATAGCTCTAGGCCTGTGGCCTCCATTTGGTGTGAGTACTGGGCTGTGCTTTGGTGTAACACAAAGCAGGTGTGTGCTGCTGGGAGTCAGAGATGATGGTGTAGACACTCCTTCTACAAGTAGCTGGGGCTATCAATTTGTAATAAAGCTTTTCCCTATAGTGTTTCTTGGGTCAATGGTCCAAGGGAGGGAAATTGGGGTCCAAATTGGAGCTCCGAGGTTGAGCCTAGAACAGACATGAATCCCCCAAACTAGACCAGAACCAAAGTGAATTTGTCAATCTGCTGGGGTGTCCGTAAGGGATTTCCACTTGTTGGAAGGAGGGAGAATCTGGGGAGAATCCAAAAGCATATGGAGGAAGGCGGAGTCAAGGCCCCTGCCCTCAAGATATCCTGATCTAATTAGAAAAAATCCTGTTTTTTTGTTGTTGTTGTTATTGTTCTTGTTATTGTTTTTGAGATAGAGTCTCACTTTGTCGCCTTTGGTAGAGTGCTGTGGCATCATAGCTCACAGCAACCTCCAACTCTTGGGCTCAAGCAATTTTCTTGCCTCAGCCTCCTAGGTACATGCCACAATGTCTGGCTTTTTTGTTGTGTTGTTATTAGAGACAAGGTCTCGCTCTTGCTCAGGCTGGTCTTGAACCCATGAGCCCAGGCAGTCCACCCACCTCAGCCTCCCAGAGTGCTAGGATTACAGGCATGAGTCACTGCGCCTGGCAGGTTTTTTTTTCCCCTTCTGGGAAGACAGAGGAAAGTCAGGAAAGTGAAAGACTCTCCAGGGCATAGTGATGAAGCTGTCAGGGTTATGTGTGTTCCTGAGGGCATGTAGTGTGAATTGTAGAGGGCTGGTCTCTGAGCTGGTAAGCTTCCTGGGAACAGGACTGGGTTTCCTGACTCTGCTTCCCTCTATCCCCTTTACCCCACCCCTCAATCCTGTCCTGCCCCAATTTCTCATCCTAATGTTCTCAAGTTCATTCTTCTGCTAGGACCAAGGTGGGAGCAGTAACAGCAGCTACTTGAAGAGGAACCGGCCTGTGCCCTGGCTCTCAGAGGTAAGGGAGGGACCCTCTCTGTCCCTGTTCTTTGAGAAAGTCAGAAAAAAAAAACTTTTCCAGAAATCACAGAACATTTTCTTTAAGTTGTTACTATTAACATTTTAACTCCCAGGGTTCCAAGCTCATTTGATTTTCTTCCTCTAGAGAAGAAGCTCTAACATTTGCTGAGGGCCTGCTATGTGCAGGCTTCGTGAATTAGCTCATGTCAGCTTTATGACCCCTTGAGATGGTATCATTACCCTTCATTTCATAGGTGGGAAGAGCACGGCTCAGGAAGGTTACTTGAATTTCAATGCCCAGCTAATCCCCAATTGGAAGACAACTTCCTAAAGGGCCTTTCTTGGATAGTTAAGTCTCATAAAACATTCCAGGAAGGAGAGAGTGCATCGTTAAATAAGTTTGAAAAACTATATGCTACATCCCCTTCTGGGAAATGCGCATTAACATATGAAAGATTCTAAGAAGTTCTACGGTAATCTGTTTGACTTGATTTAGCTCAGCATGTCCCAAACTTATTTGCCTCCTGAATTGCTTTTTTCCATGAAACACCTATTAATAGTTTATGAAACTATAGT